ATTAATCATTCATCAGCTCCTTATCGGCTTGACCCCCGATGCACGACTCCCAGACTCCCCATTTCCCGGTCGTCAGAGTCGTGCGGCTGACCCCAGTTACTACCAACGCAAGTAAGAAATGAACCTCTGCCCTCCACGAGGCTCTGAGAACATCGCTGCCGAGAGTTATAATTCTCTCCTGTGCTTCATTATCTGCTCGACGGTCTATGTCAGGGGCATGACTATGGACAGCCCCCCAAATGCATCGTCCGCCCCACCCAAGAGCCCCCCAAGACCTCTGGCACAATTCAAACAGCCAACGTGTCCAAATCCTCTCCCCCAGATGGCATCCTGGGGACACTGGTGGTTTACAGCTTCACTTTGTCCTGCTTTTGGGAATAAAAAACAAAAATACGATAAGGAGGGGAAATTGGCTTAGTATTATCCATAGAATCTCACTGACACTGAGTATCTGTCCACCAATATCCCACCGCATATCCAGTGGGGGGAAGAAATGTGTATTGCCTGTGTTTCTCCTGTAACATGCAGTCATGAAGCCTTCAGGGGTAAATGCCACCAATATCCTTTTTCATCAATAAAGGTAAAACATCGTTATTGCGGTGAATAAATTTAATGCCACTCATACTGTACTTACTGCAAATGCATCTATACCCAGAATATCCGTTTTCTACCTGGATGGCCACATACAAATATTATGTTGCATAAAACATTTCAATTTCAATTCTATTAATTAATGGTTTATCGATTACTTTTGTCCTTAAGTAACGGAAGTAGCTATTAACTGTTTCACTTCAAAGCATATTTGGAATGAAAAATTGCCATCTGTAAGTAGGAATGAGAGTGAGGCTGCATAAAAGCCCTGTTTCTATGCCCCCCACCCCCCAGTATGTCAGATCAATTAGGGTAATAAGCAAGATTAGCTATACTTAGTGATGTGATATGAACACTTAATATTTTATGGTAACAAAGTACTGGTGGAATTCACCACCCAGTATATTATTAATATTGTTGGCAGTTCAATATTAGCAAAGGTTCCGAATATTAATACTGTATATTAACATTTGTGTATTTCCTCTTATATTGTGCTTAGTGTAATTACATTGTCACTCCATGAAGCACATTTTGTACAGGCACCAAGATGGGTCTCCAGCAATTAAACAATTAGCTGCGATCTTAATGAGTCGTTTCCACACCGGTACTGCAGCACAGTACGGCTGCGTCCTGCAGGACACATGCCGTTCTGGTGCGAGTGCCTATGGTGGCCAGGAAGCAGACAAAGGCTCCAAGGTCAAAATCCCCTGGAAAGTGAAGGACAAGTTATTGATCAAACTCCGTCAAGCGGCCAGACTCATAGAGGTGCACAGGGTTCACCTACCAAACAGTGAGTCATTACGGAGGCAGCAGCGAGGTTAGCTCAAGCAAGCTAATATTTACTTTCTGTAATTAAGGCAGCCTTGAGGACAGTCTCAGTCCGTCTTTGAGTGGCTGTCCAATTAATACCGCTCACATTAATGACCGATTTGCAGGCCTCATTCCACGCTACTAGTTAAAATGCCAGCGTTGAAACCAGGCTCTTGTTACTGTTTTATTTACCATGATTTAGCTCTTTAGCGTTGGTGCCAAATGGCAGACGTGTGAAGCACTCGGTCTTGTATTTTGTGTAAAAAAATGAGCGGACGGCACAGGCAGCGCCAATCAATCACAGAAACGCTTCTGTTTGTTCAGTGTGCAGGTCTCAGGCGGCGCTGCGCGTGTACCATCGACAGGTTGTTTTATCTACATCTGTTTTGGGATTCACGGAGCGTAGCAGTGAGCGTGCCGTAATCTTGTGTGTGTGTGTGTTTTTTTTTGTTGTTGCACCCTTTGATTACACTCTTCGAATCACAGACAAGTAGCACTCACCTCAGAGCTCGCTTCAAACATCCCATGAAAGCTGCACTTTGCTTTCTCTTTCTGCTCATTTAGCTGCATTGTGTATATCAGGGCTCAGGGAAGTTACAGCTCCACCATTCGGCAGTTGATATAACTGCACCATTTCTGAGCATTTTTCATTTTAATGTATCAAGTCACCCATTGATACACAGCAGACAGGTAACAGCTCAGTGGGCAGTAACACCTGCAGCTGAACACTCGGCGATCGGACCTCCAGCTGCGTGAAGCAGCAGCCTTTTCATACAGGAGTTAAGTGCTTTTGGATTGAATTTAATTCACAGGCCCCTCCTCTGATGATTGGATATCTGCAGCCCCGGCTGACCGCTGACCCATTCTCTATCGTGGCCTGTGTAATGATATTCCGAGGTCAGGTTAGTCTGCAAACCGTGTGGGCGAGCGGTGCCTCTTTATTCCGGAAACTTCTCACGTCTAGAGAATAGAACAATGGGGAGCTCCTACTGGGGGGGGGGTGGCAAGGGTGGATAAAGTGTTCCTTGGATGATGATCCCTAACATCCACATGGCAGAAGGAACGCTGACAGCCAGGAAGGGGGGGAGGTGTGTGTGTGTGTGTGTGTGTGTGTGTGTGTGTGGAGGGAGGGGCACGGAGCGGCCACGGGATTAGTGGGGGGTGGGGGGGTTGAGATGTCTGAGAGTTCCTGGAGGTGTCTGGCTGCAGCTGTCACACTTCCTGGTTCCTGATAGAGAGAGGCCGGGCCGAGCAAAGCCTCTTCACTGTGGGCTCATGCGTGGGCTCCCATCAGAGTCTCTGCAGTCACACATGGATCCCAGAACCCAAGAAAGCACCCTTAAAAGGTAAGGCCGCCTCATTATGTAAATGGAAATTAACAGCCTGATTCGTTAACGGCAATGCCATCTCATTACATAACTCTAAATTAACAGCGTTGATTCCCTTAAAGGCAATGCGTCTCCTTATGCAACTTTACATTAACAGTGGTTATTCCCTTAAAGGCAATGCCACCTCGTTATGTAACTCAGCACTGATTCGTTAAAGACAGGGCATCTCATTATGCAAATTATAAAGTAATAGTGCTGATTTGTTAAAATCTCATTATGTAAATATTACCAGCAGTGATTTGTTAAAGGTAAGGTGGTCTCATTCCGTAAATTATAAAGTAACAGTGCTGATTTGTTGTTTGCAGGCATTATCCTGACAGAAGGAAACAGTCCTTATGTGCTATTAATTACTTAAATGCCTACAAAATAAACACAGAATTTATATGCGTGGTTGTAATATATCTCAGGGCCAATTAATTCAGCAGGAGATGATCTCCAAGCAGGCTGGTTTGTCAGTGCAATCGTGTAACGGCGTGAGGCTCACCTCGGAGTGGTCACCACTGGACCTGCTGCACAGTCCTGAACGTCAGGACCAGAGATGCACCCTCGCTGTACGCGATGAGGGACAGACACGGTTAGGAGCTGGTTTCCATCCATATTTAATTGTGTGTGGATGTATGCGTCAGACGTGTGATTGGAATCATCCTGACGCAGACACACATGGAGGCTGTATCTGCAGACCTTTTCTTTCAGGCTGGACTTCTGCAAATGTCTTTGTGTGTGTCACTGGCGCCCCCCTGAGGACGGGGCCTCATTCACACTCATGTTTGTGTGTGTCACTGGCGCCCCCCTGTGGACGGGGCCTCATTCACACTCATGTTTGTGTGTGTCACTGGCGCCCCCCTGTGGACGGGGCCTCATTCACACTCATGTTTGTGTGTGTCACTGGCGCCCCCCTGTGGACGGGGCCTCATTCACACTCATG